AGGGACCAGCGGGGCAAGGACGGCCACGCTGGGGAGGCCCCGGGGTGCGGCCACTGCGCCCCGTCTCCGCCTGGGCAATGCTCACACAGGTATATGGGTATCTAAACCCACCCAACTATGCCCTTAAAATATGGAGAGTTGCTGGGTGTGGTGGCACACACTTGTAATCCCAGCACTCAGGAGGCTGAGGCAGGAGAATCACTGCAAGTTGGAGACCAACCTGGGCTATAAAGTGAGCTCAAGACCAGCCTGAACTGCACAGGGAGACCCTGTCTCAAAACAGCAAACAAAACAAAACAAATATGGAGATTTTACTGCACACAAATTAGACCTCAACAAAATCGCTCTTTTAAAAAAATCATGGTTTAGAGCGGGGGATATAGCTTAGCAGCACAAGTATCTGCCTGGTAAGCCCAAGGTCCTGAGTGGGACTCCCAATGTCAAAAAACAAACCAGGATTTAAAAGAGTAAACAGTAATGGGGAAAACATTCTGTGGTGTGTCTCCCCGCTTCTCTTTCATGTGTGTAATGGGGAAAACATTCTGTGGTGTGTCTCCCCGCTTCTCATTCTGTGGTGTGTCTCCCCGCTTCTCTTTACACTTACATAAATGTAAGTATTGATCACATTTCAAGTGTAAGGTTAAAGACTTTTTTTATCCCTTTTTTTTTGGTCTTTTTTGAGACAGGGTCTCACTATGCAGTTCAGGCTGGACTTGAGCTCACTCTGTAGCTCAGGCTGGTCTCAAACTCACAATGATCCTCCTGCCTCAGCCTCCCGAGTGCTGGGATTACAAACGTGTAACACCATGCCCAGCTTTATCTGTTTTCTAGAGCTTATGAAATCCTTTGTGCTTTTTTTTGGCTGTGGTATGAGGATAGAGCCCAGGGTTAATGCACTCCAGGCAAGTGAGCTACCATTGAGCTGCACATACCCTCAGCTCCAGCAATTATTCTGTAAGCAAAAAAAGTTTTTAAAAAATATCTGTGACTTAAACTGTGCATAGTGGCCCACACCTGTAATCTCAGCACTTACGAGGCTGCGGCAGGAGGAATGCCTCAAGTTCAAGGCCAACCTGGGCTACATAGTGAGTTCAACACCCATCTGAACTACTTAATAGGACTGTCTCAGAAAACCAAAAACAGGGGCTGGGGATATAGCTCAGTGGCGTAAGCGCCTGCCTGGCAGGCGCAAGGTCGTGAGTTCAATCCCTGGTACCGCAAAAAAAAAAAACAAAAAAAAAAAACACATTAATTGTGGCGTGCCTTCACTTCACTCAGTGCTTAGAGGTCTGGGCACAAACTGTACAAAGACAGCAGCAATCAGCCTAGGAACTTGGGGCACCAAGGTAGGGCTGGCAGAAGGCAGCAGAGGCTCCTCCCACAAAGGTGGAGCCTAGGCAGTGGCCCCATACCACCTTTTTTTTTTTTTTTTTTTTTTTTTTTTTTTTTTTTTTTGAGTCAAGGTCTCACTATGTTTTAGTGAGACCAGGCTGGCCTGGAGCTCACAGCAACCCTCCTGCCTCAGCCTCCCAAGTGCTGGGATTACAGGCAGGCACCACCACACCCAGATCCCCATACCACCCTTGAATACCCAACACACACACATATGCAGAACCCTCAGCCCAAAGCTCACAGGATGAATCCAGAGCCTATTGATTGTGTTTCACTGCAACCAGGGCAGAGCCCAGCTACGGTTTTGGCCTGTTTCAAGTTCAGCTAGTGACCCACTTTGAGGAGCTGTCCCCACCCCCAGCTTCCTGTTTCCAGTCCGCCCTACTTCCCACACACAGACCAGGCCAGGCAGGGCTGCTGGCTCAGCTTCCTCCACCGAGAAACTCTGTCCCTGATACCTGGCCCCATCCCTGGGGGGCATGGTGACCCTCCAAGTGTACGCGTGGTGTGCAGCCATACCCTGCAGGGCATCACGCGCCCCTAGAGCCAGCAGCTCTTGGCTTCCAGTTTTTCTAGGCGTTTCTAGCAGGTGCAGTGTGCCCCCACCTGTCCTGGGAGTCCAGGGCCGCCCTCGGCTGCTCTCACAGTCCTCCCCACCTCAGCCCGGCCCCAGCCCTGGCCGGTCCAGCTTCATCCAGACTCCTGGACGGAGGCTGGAGACACAGATGCTAACTGAATTAAATGTCCCGCGAGCTGGCCGGTAGTCCAACTCTACTGACCTCAAGCATGTACGTGACAACAACCTAACTTGGGCCTGACTCCCTTTGGGGCTGCTGGCTGTCTGTACTCCACAACCCAGTGTTTCCCACTGAGAGCTTAGGGTGGTTCCGTGAACGGCCCACCAGCCAGGCCCTGCAGCCCCACGCTGGCCAGGAGGGAGCCCTGTGCTGGCACGCCAGTCCCGCAGTTCAAACAGACCCGCCCAGAGGGCAGGCACGCTTCGCCAAAGTGAAGCTCAACAGCCTGGCCAGGCACTGGTGGCATCAGAGAAGCAGGAACAGGGAAGCTGGCCCTGGGAGGGGGTGCTAGGAGGCCCAAGGGTGATGTCAGAGCAGGACGTTCTCCCACAACGAACACCAGGAAGACTGAGCATGTCAGGTCTCCACTACCCGGCCACAGACGGGGTCTCCAATGCTGCTGCTGCTGCAGGTGGTGACCCCAAGCCAAACCAGGTGCTGGACACAGATCTGACACTACCCCCTGACCTAGGACCACCTTCACCCAGCTCAGTCCTCAAGCCTCACAATCCAGCCTCACCGAGCACCCCAGGGGCCCAGTACCCACTGTAGCCCAACAGCACCAGGGGGCCAGGGTGAAGCTCACAATACAGTGCTTGTGTAGCATGCATGAAGCCCTGGGTTCAATCCCCAGCACCTCAAATAAAAAAAGGCCTCGAAAACTGAGAACGCCCACCCTGAGAATCCCGATCTCCACCACTCCCAGTCCCACCCCAGGGAATTATTTGCTTCTCCTGAAAGGCCCCACAGCCCTCCAGGTGTCGGTCCTCCTGGCAGGGGCCCCGGAAGCCTCTGGAAGGTTAAACAGATACAGCCCCCAGGCCGGGCTCCCAAATCCCTCACCTCCCTCTGGGTGAGGGGTGATCCCAGCGCAGCTTTCTGCCCACACAGACCCCACTCCTGACACGCGGGGCTCCTGGTGTTTTGCCCCATTCCTGGACACACATTTCCCCAACTTGTGTAGACTCCTGTCTCGCCAGGCCTCTCCTGGGCTCTGGTCAGTCGCCACAACGTCAGTGTAGACTGCCTGGACGCTGCCCCAACCTGCGGGGCTCTCCTCCCAGGCCCGGCTCCATCAGACACACTCACCCCTGCATGGAAAGTCCCATTGCAGCAGGGACCCAACCCACCAGGCTCTCGTAAAAACTTCCAGGGCCTGGGCTACATCCCCAGCACTCAACGAAACAATCGACTATCAAAACAAAAACAGAAATTGCAAAGCAGGGAATGAATGAGATCGAACCGCCCAGACCGGCCGGCCCCGGGCCTCTGGGCAGCGTCCAGACCCCGCTCCTGTACGCCTCCCCTCCTAGGCAGGCTCGGCCGGCAGCCCTTCCATCCGCCTCTGTCCATCCCTCTGCCCTCTGTCCAACCCTCTGCCGTGAGACGGCTCTGCGGGGAGGCTCGGGACGCAGCCCGTGTGTCCTTGTCCCACGACGGCCTGCGTGCCAGGTGGGGCGTGTCTCCGCTGTGCTTAACTACCTCGTGCTTCTCCAAACGCTGAGGTCCTCGGGGGACCCCCCCCCCCGCAGCAAGCCCCACAGGCCAGGCGCCCCTCCTCTAGCTCTCCGCCACCGAGGTCCAGGCCTGCCAGGGCTTCTTCCGGGATGCCCGAGAACAGAAGCCTGCGTCTTGGTGTAAACGGCGGCTGGAGGGGTGCCCGGCGGCCCCACCCGCCCACGGCCGTCTGGCGCACGGTGCCCGGGCGGGCGG